GATCCTCACTACCAAAAAAGAAAAAGAAACAAAGACAAAGAATGATACGAAAGTCTGAATTAATATAACTAGAAAATTCAATCCATATGAAAACTTACATTCCTTAAATAGTGAATACACAATTTTCTATGTCTAGGAAAAGCTTAGAAAAATCACTTCCTGAGCCAGATGCAGAGGTGTACGCCTGTAATCTCAGCACTCAGGAGGCTGAGGCAAGAGGATCACTGTGAGTTTGAGGCCAGCCTGGGCTACATAGTGAGTTTAGAGGCAGCCTGAACTACAAAGGGAGACCCTGCCTCAGAAAGAAAAAGAAAAAGAAAAATCATTTCCTTGGCTCCAAAGAAATCCATAATATATTTTTAAATGGAAATTTTACAAATCTAGAGAAAATGAATGCTTTCCTAATAAAACACAAAATCGTCAAAATTAACTAATAGGAAACTTGAGTAGACTAATTACCATCAATGAGAAAAAAGTTTATCACTGAAAGCCTGGATCCAGAGGGGCCTGGGAGGTCCCCTTCCTCCTCCAGGAAGTGTTCCCAGGCTTCTCCTGCCAAAAGCCCAGGGAGGGGACAGGGAGCCTCAGCACCCTGCAGACGCCTGCACAGCCTGCACCCGACCGGGCTTTGCTGACCAGCTGCCCCTGGACTCTCCCAGTGCCCGGCCAGCACCTGCCTACCTGACCAAATGAACATGCAAGGGAAGAGCAGGGTGCTCTGCCAGGCGTGGGGCACCCGCCTGTGACCCCAGCACTCAGCAGACCGAGGAAGGAGGAGCTCAAGCGTGGGAGTTCAAGCCCTGCTTGCACTCTACAGCAAGACCTGTCTTAAAAGACAGAAAGAGAAAAGGAAAAGGGAAAGAGGAGAAAGAAAGAGAGAGAGAGAGAGAGAGAGAGAGAGAGAGAGAGAGAGAGAGAGAGAGAGAAAGGAATGGGGAAGGGCAGAGAAGAGAGAAGGGAAAAGAAAGGAAAAAGAAAGGAAAAGCAGGAGGACACTTGGTGGTCAGCATACCATGGAAGCCAAAGAAGCAAAGACACAGAAAGAAACCCAGCAGGAAAGAGCCAGAGACCTCCCATTATCCCAGTGTTCAGTGCTCACAACGAGGCTCGGCCCAGGTGCAGGAGACACTGCCATCCACACTTTCAAAGAGGCCAAGGCCCAGGACCGGGGAGGGGGCTGGCCGTGTGCAGCCTGGGTCCACCAGTCAGACATGTCCGTGTCCCAACAAAAATACAACATGCAGAGGAAGTCATGTTACTGACTGCGTCACATGTCTTAACTAATGACACACACTTTCATCTGTGCCCCAGGCCGGTCTGCCACAGGGCTGGGGTGGACGCACCTGGGGTGGCGCCCTTGGGCCCCTGCTTCCAGGACAACACTGGGATCCAGGTCTGCTCTCCGGCCGAGGCAGGGACACCCACGGGGGCCAGGGCTGAGCCTGTCGGGGGCTGGAGCCTTGCCCGCACTGGAGAGTAGCTCCCAAGCCTCATCCGGCACCAGACCTGCCTCTTTGGGAACAGAGCTTCCCCGCCTAAGCCAGAGCTCTGATGCCTCTGGACCCTGGGCCTCGGAGCTCCCAGACCATCCCCCATGCACCACAGCCCCCCTGCTCGCCAGACCAGCGTCAGCCCAGACTCTCCCACACTCTGGTGTGGATCCTGACTCATTCTTCACTGTCCTGCACCCCAGGGCCTGGCGCTGACCACCAACGTTCAGCTCAGGAAGGGCAGAGACAGTCGGCAAGAGGGCGGGGAGTGGCTTTCTCAGATGCCTGGGGCTGGCAGGGCAGAGACCCAGGTGAAGAATGAGCCCACTCCAGGGAGCTGTGGGGGACATGGGCGTCTTCGGCTGGGTGGGGGATGTGGGGAGCACCCTAAGTGCCCGGAAATGCGGGTCCAAGAACCTGCTCTCTCACAAGCCAGGTCCCGGGGCTGTGTGAGTCACTGGAGGAAAGGTCAGACCAGGCATGAAGAAGCCAGCTAAGCACCGGCTAAGCCACCTGTGAGGGCTGTGGGAGGAGGGACAGGAGCTCCCTGACCCTCAGTCTGGCTTCAGTTCCCTGCTCTTACCAAGCTCCTTGGCAGGCCAGGGGAGGGCACGTGTGGGTCTGTCCTGAGCTCCGTCCCGGAAGTGTCCATGGAAGGCCAGATGGGGAGTCAGGGGAAGGGGAGAGTTGGGGGAACCTCCCTGAGCTCCTGATGCCAGCAGGGGGTTCACTCCCAGTTCCGGGCAGCAGAGAGGGAGGAACAAGGCCCCAGGCTCCTTCCAGGCCAGGCCTCACTCAGGTGTGGCGCCTCCCAGGCTGTTTGCGTAAGGAGTTGCAGTGCAGCGGGATCGGGCAGCTGGCCAATGCCCAGCAGTGGGGCGGGGTCGCACCAGATCTGCTGCCCAAGGCCTGGGGCCAAGGCCCAGGGCGGGGACAGAGGCCACACCTCGAGGCCCCTAGCCGTCCCTGAACGCCCTGCCCTCTTCCACCTCTGCCCCTTGGGGTGGGGCTCCTCCTGGGACGTCTGGCCCCTCCTCCAGTGGCGGCACCCCAGCTGCCGTGGAGGGTGAGGTGAGGACAGGCCTGCTGCCCCCAGCCTCTGTGTGTGCTGTTCTTGCCCAGGGGAGCAGGAAGGCTGAGACACAGCCTGGTGGCCAGGGTGGGCTTGGGGTTCAGGCTCATGGACCCTCTTTGGGCCCATCTGTGCTCTGGGCAATGGGGCGCCTGTGTCTGTGAGAGCCATGGGGCTGTCGCCCTTGGGGACTGTCCAGCATGCCCTGTGTCCCGCAGGAGGACACAGTGAGCTGCACCCCAGCCTGGAAGGTGCCTGTGTGGCAGAGGCTCCGCTCTGGGGCCTGCAGCGCACCCCTTCCTTCACTCCCCAAGGACCAGGTTGCCCTCTGTCCCAGGGCCCTCCCACTCCCTCTCCAGGAGCCACTCCTCGCCTGGCTCCCCCCAGCCCCAGCCCAGCGCCTGCCCAGCCCTAGGCACAGCCTGGGCTCCTGGCTGACTCTCCCGTCCCTGCCTACTCTGCAGCTACTTCAGATAAGTCTCCCTTGGCCTTCCGGTCACCCCTTTCCTCTGGACGTGACTCCTCAGCTTCCTGCTCTTCTTCCCTGCCCCCGGCTGTCTCCTCTCTGCTCCGCTTTTCCTTCCTTTGCCCGCCTGTCCTCCACCCCACTCCTCCCAGGCTGTGCCCCTGAAGAGCCTCCCATCTCCATGCTCCTTCTCTGAGAAAAGCCTCCCAGTGCTGTGGGATAGACTAAATTCCTGACAAAGCCCCAGGAGGAGCAGCCAGGAGGACACAGCCTGCCCTGATTGCATCCATGCCACCCGGCCCGGAATGTCCACACCTCTCCTCCGCCCATGCTCACTATCTGTCCCCTCCAAAAGTCACCAGTCCCAGAGGGTGAGCCCCAGAGCTGCAGGTTCACCTGGCGCTGGGCAGGTGGCCAGCCAGGTCATACTTAGGGTTCCTCCTGCACGGCGAAGCTGGAGGCAGGCAGGCTCACCTTTCAGGAAACTCCCTCCTGAAGCCCAGCCCAGACAGGGAAAGACTGCCGGGGCTTCCTTCCGGGGACAGCCAGCTCCCGCCCTCAGAGTTGGTTGGGAACATAGCTGGCCTTGAGTGAGATGTGCTGAGAGCTGGGTTTGCTATCCTCACGCTGGGAGGGACTTGGGGTCACAGCGCACTGGGGCCACAGTGCAGCGAGGCAGTAGCACCTTTGGGCCACACCCAGGTCTCTCTGAGGTCCTGGCCCCTCCCTGTGTAAGAATACATCTCCTGTGACCCCCCAAACCACTGCAGGAGGAAAGAGGGCACCGGCACTCTGGGCAGTGACTGGGGGGGGGGCGACTTCTGAGAAGGTGTGGAGGCCTGGAAGTCTGGACTGCTGGCCCTTGGACACACTGCAGAGCCCCAGCTCACGGGCTCTGGGCCGCCTCTGCTCGCTCCTCCTCGACACACGCCGCAGCGCACAATCCATGGGCCAGATGGTGAGGGTCGCAGTGCAGGGCCACATCCCAACTCCAGGAGTGTGCGTGGTGAGGCGGTGGACACACTCCCACCATCACTAAGCGTCGGAACGCGGAGAGGCTACGGAGCGACTGGGAACACGGCCGCCAGGACACAGCGCGGGCGCCCAGCTGGCAGGTGACCCCTCAGGCCCCTTGCGCTCCCGCCGTGCGCTGTTCTCGCTCTAGCCACGAGGGGGCGCGTGGCCCGGCGCTGCAGAACCCCAGCAAGCCTAAACCGTGGGTATCGTGTGCACCACACCCAGCCCCGGCCGTCAGTGGCTCTGCAGCAGCTGGCAAGGGATCGAGCAGGGTCAAATTCTAGTTTCCGTTGGTACAAAACCTGAACTCTGCATGGCGACGAGACCGGGCGGCTTGGGGCTGGGCACCCGCCTCGGTGCGATAGGAGTCCCGGGGGTCCCCACCGCCCGCTCCTCCGGGCTAAAGAGCACACTGAGCCGGGGCCAGGAGCGAGTCGCCGACGGGTCCCCAGCAGGGCGGATGTGACAGAGGTGACGGCGGCTCCGGGCGCCTTTCTTCCGCGCGCCTCCCTGGGGTCGAAACAGAGGGGCCAGAGGAGGACTCCGGGGACGCATGGTGTCTTAAACGCGCGCCGTTTCGATTTCTCAAATCCACATACCCGGACTGAGGGGCCCGAGCCAGCTTTGCGTTTCTTTTAGAACCAAACCGCCGCGAGCTCAGCGAGGAAACGAAAGGTCGGAAGCCGCCAGGGGGAAGCGGCGCCTTTCTCGAGCCGCCCTCGCCCCTGATCCGGTCGCCACCGGGCGGCGCGCGCACCCCGTGCCAGGGGGCGTCGGGGCCCAGACGGCTCGGCTGCCTTTCAGCGGCAGGACTCGAACCTTCCCAGCAGCGGGAGGAATAAAGACCTACCCGGGTCGGGTCGGCCCGGCCCGGCGGCCTCCAGGGCGCGTCGCCGCCGGAGAGCCTCAGACCGGGGGGGGGGGGGGGCGTCCCCGCCGCGCCCCGGGGGCCTACCTGCTCCGGGACCCCCTCCGCGGCGGCGGCGTCGACATCCTCCGAGGCGCTGGGCGCCAGGACCCGCGGGCAGACCCAGGAGCCCGCCACGCTGCAGGCCTTGGCGCGGCGCGCGCCCTCCCGGGGGCTGCCAGGGGGCGCGGCGCGCGCCAGGTCGTCCAGGGACTGCGCCGGGCGCACGGGCGCCGCGGGCCGCGCATACAGGCGGGCGGGCCGGCCGGGCGCGCTCAGGAGCTGGGGCACACCGGCCGGCGAGGCCGGCAGCTCGCGCACATACTGGGCAGGCAGGTAGAAGGGACGGCCGCCGGGCTCGCGCCGCACGTGCCACCAGTGCGGGGTGCTGCGGCACAGCAGGCGGTAGCGCTCATTGGGCCGGATGACGACGTGGCGTCCGTCCTGGCCGGTGTACTCGAAGGGGTGCTCCACCAGCACGTCCACTTGGCCCTCGACGCCAGCCGCCATTGCAGCCGCCGCGTGCCCTGCTGGCGACACGGAGAAGGGGCGAGGTCAGCGTGAGCTCCGCAGGCACGAGGGGACAGAGGGCTGCTCCAGCCGGGCGCGTGTGCCCGGGCTCCAGGGTCTGCGTCTCTGACAGGGGACTTGCATGAACCACCCCTGGTTCCCTATCTTAGCTCAGCGCCGGAATTAGGACCACCCCTTGCTTCCGTGGCCTGATTTTAAGATTTGAGGCTCGCTTCGATCGCGTGGTGGGAAGTGTGGCATGTGGAGCCTAGCACTGACTGAGTCCCATTTCCCTGCTGGAAAAGTGGGAAGAGCAGCCTGTTCCTTGCAGGGAATCTGCGGGGCGCTCTGTGCGCCCCTCCCCAGCTGTCCCCGGGGTGTCCCTGCCTCGCCCTAGTCCCAGGGCCTTGACTCAGGTTTGGCTGCGGAGGCGGGGGAACCGGTTCTCCCCATCTCTCTTTCCTTCCCCAGTGACTTGGCCGCGATGTGAACCCGGCCCTCCCACCCTAGGATCTGCACGGTGACCATGGCCAACCCATTGGTCTCGCCAGGCTCCCAGAGCTCTCTGGAGCGAGTACCTGCGGCCTGTCCGGCTCAGCCTGGCCGCGCCTGCTCGCGCCTTCAGCTAGGCGACACGAGGCCTCCTCCGGAAGTGGCTCCGATTCCCGCTGGACAGTACTGGCTCCTGTCCCACAAGGTGGCTGCCCCCAGCGGCCGGGAGCTGGCCGCTTGCTGAGGCCAAGGACTCCGGGAAAGAGCCGAGGAGTGCGGGAGACAGGGCCCTCCTTCACTTTCTCAAACGCTGCTTTTCAAGGGGTGGGTGTAAACTGAGGCACTGAGCACGCTGGGCTCTGGAGCTAGCCGAGACAGAGCCCCACCCCGCGACCCCTTTCTCGACTCCCGCCACGCACTCACTTGGGCTGGGCGGGCCTCGGGGAGCCCATGGGCGGGGCTCACGGTGCTGGCGAGGGCACAGGTTAGGCCCCCATCGCGGGGCAGGACGTGGAGAGCAGCCGTGGAGCGCGCGCGGGAGCTGGCGAGGGTAAAGCGCGGAGAGGGCCCTCAGCAGCTGTGGGCGGGGGCGAGGAGGAGCCACAGTGTGAGCAGGGCCCTTGCGGGGGAAGTGGGACCCGGTGCGGGGACCGGAAGGAGCGCTGGTGGGTCGTGCGCGCAGCCCCAGCGCCCCTGCGCCCACGTTGTCTGCTGTCCGCGAGGCCCCTTAAGCCTTGGACGCGCGGCTCTGGGAGTGCCGGGCTGGGCTGCTGGTCCGGTCCGGGTGTTCCCTTTCTGAGCGAGGCCATTTGCCCCTGAGTCACCAGCCACGAGCAGCCGGCGGAGGGAGATTCCCACAGCAGTGTCACCTGCCTCAGCGCAGGGCCCGGGCTGGGCAGCAAGGTGACCCGCGCCTGCGCTTCTGGGGAGCCGAGAGGACCCCCACCCCCCGCCCCAGCGCAAGCACGCATGGCTGCCAAGAGGTGCCTGGCGCCTGCTGCCCAGGTGACCCAGGAGCTACAGAGGCGCCAACGCCGGCCGAGTAGGCGCGGAACGCCTGATCCCCGTCGCCTCCTGCCTCGGGGGTAGAGGGCCGTCCCTCACCTCCCCACGGGACCGGCCCGCGGGGTCCTCCTTGGGGGGCGGCGCACGGGGCTCGGACCGGCACCTGGGTACTGGCCTCCCTCCCCCGCCCAGCCCTGCTGGCCCTGGCACCTCAGGGCGTCTGCCCGCTGGCCTCGCTTCCACTCGTCCCGGCAGGCGCGCGCGGCTCGGCGTCCGGCGCTCCCTCCTGCACCGCCTGGCCTCCGAGCTGCCCTGTTTCCTGTTCAACAATATACAGGGAAGCACCGGCGGAGCGCCCGGCAGAACTTCCTCTCCGGCTGGGGCTGGGCTGCGGTTGCAAGAGACAATCCCCGGTGTCCCGGCTTCCTGTCCCCTCTGGGCCGGCCCGCGCCCCGGGAGCAGAGACGCCACCCTTTCCCCCTGCACCTCCTGGGGTGGGATCCTGGGCCACATCTGGCTGTCTCCAGGGATGAGGACCCGGGGGTCTCCCACCGACTTCAACACGATTTCCTTCTTATAGCAACCCTTGCCCTTGTAGAGAGGGTTGCCCTTTCAGTCTGCCCAGCCGCCCCCTGGAGGCCAGGGTCTCCAGTGGCGTCCAGGGCCCTCGCCCTTGGGGGTCTCCTCTCTGGGAAGGGTCTGCCTCGGGAAAGTAGCCTTGCCCCTATGTCTCGACCCAGTTCTCACTCCAGACATGGGCACACCAGCCCCCGTGGGCCCCTCGTTCTCAGGGCCCCCAAGGAACAGTGGTGCATCTACATAGCTGCGCGTGCTGAGAGGAGGGAGCCCCTCCCAAGCCTTGGACTCCAGACAGCACCTGAATAAGAGCCCCCCCCCCATACTGGGGCCTGAACCCAGGGGGCGCTCAACTATTGAACTACATCCCAGCCCTTTTTTAAGATACTGTTTCCCTAAATTGTCCAGGCTGGGCGGGAACTCTTGATCTCTCCTGACTCAGCCACTTGAGTAGGTGTGTGCCATGGTGCCTCATACTCCTGTTTTGAGACAAGGTCTAGCTATTTAGTTCAGGCTGAACTTGAACCCACTTTGTAGCCCAGGCTGGCACTGAACTCACAATGATCCTCCTGCCTCAGCCTCTGGAGTGCTGGGATCACAGGTGTGCCTCAGCACACCTGGTTCTTACTCTTTCTTGAACTCCCTTTCCTCCACATCTCTGACTCTGGCGTTGCCCACCAGCGAGTCCACACTGCTGGGTATGTCTCAGTGTGTCCGAGGCCTGGTGGCATCTCAGGATCTGCCAGAACAGATGTGCAGCAGACCTAAGCATGGTGCCCTGTGTGCTGGGAGGACAGTGGCTGCACGAGCCCTCCTCACTGCCCTAGTCACCCAATGTGCCGGGCAGGTGGCAGTGGCTGGTGTGTGGTGGTCCTTTCTGGGTCTGGTGGTCTGATGCAGTGCTGCCACATGCTGGCCTTCCGATGTTTGGGAGTGTGGCCTTAGGGTTGCATCTTTCTTTCCTACACACGGGGAACAGTAATGCCTTCCTCACAGCTTGCTGGAAGGACTGAATGAGATACAGCAAGGGCAATGCTGGTAAGCACTTTACTATTTTGCAGTACTGGGGACTGAACCCAGCTATATTGTCAACCTCCCATTAAATTTTTTGAGATGTGGCCTCACGAAGTTGCCCTGGCTGGGCTTGAACTTGTGACTCTGCCTCAGCTCCAAGCGCTGGAACTCCAGGTGTGTAGCTCCATACTGCTTTACCATGAGATGCGCTCTGCAGGCTAGGTTCGCTTCTCTAAACCCTCCATCCTGCTCTAGGCAGAGGGAAACTTGTGCCTGCAAGGGCACTTTGCTGAGGCAGCACCAGCTCAGCCCTGCCCTCCACCTAGCTCGCCTCTTTCCACCCACTGCCCCTGGGGGAGCTGGGCTCATGGACGGAGATGGGGTACCCACCCATGGTCTGAGAGGAGTGTTCAACAGGAAGCGGCAGACCTGAATGCTTTTTCTGCCTCATTTTCCTGCAATCTGGTTTCCCCAGGATTTTGTTTCCTTCTTTTGTTCTTGCAGGGACAGTGAGGGCTTCTCCCTGCAGGGCCCCTTAGCCTCTCTGGGATCTGCAGAGGAAGCGAGCCGCCACGTAAAGACCCTAAACCCACAGGGCGGGGGTGCTGAACTCATTTCCCGACCCTTTCGGGCTCCCTGGTTCCCCCGGTGTTCCTGAAGCTGCAGTGTCCTGGCATTTGAGGGGAATGAAGCCATGGGCAGCCAGCTTTGGCTGTTACAGTTCAAGAAGACCCCAGGCCCCACCCCAGGGACCCTGCTCCTGGGCAGACAGGGAGGCCTGGATTCATGCACCCTTTTCTCCCTGCACCCCGGCCCACAAACCCCTGCCTGTAAGTGTGCAACCCTGGCTGCAATTCTCCCCACGCTCAGAGATGGACTAATAGGAGGGGCCCTGAAGCCCTGGCCATGGCTGACATCTCCCCCAGTAGCAGGGTTAGGGTTAAGTGAGACAGATGAGAAAGATCAGGCCTTTACTACAAAATCTCTCAAAAGCACACAGCAGCAGTGCCTTTAAAACATTGCCAAGCAATTCTCAGGGGCAGAGCCCCTCTCTCAAAAGTTTATTGCGTATTATCACAACTGAAGCAGTGTGGGTATCACTGAAGCTTGCAGCAGTTGTCTGGAGGTGTGGGTTAGAGCCAACGCACCTGACTGCATTAGCAGCCTTCTGGAAGGAGGCGGGATGGGAGGCGGCCCCTCCAGGCCGGCCTTGCTCCTGCTGCCTCCCAGGGCACCTGGGATGTACTCTCAGGCCCCAGGTGACCCCTGCCCACTCAGGGACCTGGGCTGTTTGTGGGAGCAGCAACGCTGACTGTGGGTGTGGGGTGGGGAGGTGGACCACTTCCCACTCAGGCTTTGGTGTTCCGGGCATAGGTGTTTTCACCTTCCCTCATGGGGACACATCCTGGGGATGGAGGAACTGTGTGGCAGCTGCTGTCACCTGCCTACCGCCTCCTGTTCTGTTGCATAATTCCTCCAGCTCTGTGGGGCTGGGCAGATGACTCAGCAGCCCTGTCGCCCCAGGGAGGGCAGGGAAGGCTCATCTTTTTTCTCCTTCCTCCGGTGCTGGGATGGAACCTGGGCCTTGGGCATGCTAGGCACTGCCTTCACTGGGCCGCATCACCTGAACGCTCGCCTCCTGACTGTGACAGGTGCATGTCCTGAGGCCTTCGACTCCAAGCCAAGGCAGGTGGGGGTGGCTAGAGGGGCCTGCTGGTGCAGGAGAGGAGAGGAAAGCAGAGCTCATGCCCTCACTTCCCCCAAGCCTGCATGGTCTGAATATCACCTGGAGACCAGTTCAGCCTCCCTCCCTGCTCCAAGGCCCCTTTCAAAAGGCAGTCATGCTCCAGGGAACTTTCTAGGCCCTGGCAGTACCCCCGCTGGGCCAGTCCAGGAGGAGCCACGTGTGAGCCTGTGGCTCGGCAGGGGTGAACCGTGCAGAGCAGCTTCTCTGTCTGTCCCTGCAAAGCTCAGAACAGGTTGCTACCCCAGTGTGGCACCCGGGGCTGGCCCTGGCCTGGGCTCCTTGCCCTCTTGGGGATCCACTTTTGTTTGTCCTCGAGGTCAACCAGGTGGAGGTGTGACCCCGAGAGCCGCCTGAGGCGTCCCTGGCTGTCTGTGGGCGTGAGGAGGACGTGGGCTAAGGGCGGGTGATGCCAGCCTTCCTTGAACAAGGAAAGCTCAACAGTGCCAACAGTGCTGGTTTTGAGTCATTTCTCCTTCTCCCGCCGAGGCCAGCACCCCAGACCCGAGGAGTGAAGAGCGGGGGACTGATGCTGAGAAGGGAGGCTTTGGTGAGGAGCAGGGAGAGGGAGCCAAGAAGAGAAGAGGATGACGTCATCGGCCCCCAGGACTGGCCCGACCTGCCATCAGCCGTCTGTCCATTGGCAGCAGGTCTGTCCTGCAGTGGCCGTGCCCCCCCACCCGTCTGGCGCCAGGCCGAGTGGTTTTTGCACATCTGCTTAGGGTGCGAAGGCCTGGATTTCTGGGGAGACTTATTTGGGATCAAGAATAAAAAAATATTCTCTGTTGAAATATGAGGGGAAGAAAAAAACCCACCCTAAAAAACTAGAGCTTTTAATTGGGAATGTGCAACCACATGTCCCCGAGTGCCAGAAGCGTTGGAACTGCCCCAAGGGTGGGGTCGTGGCATGTTGGGGCAGGCCTGGTGTAGGCCCCTTCAGCCCTGGCTGCGGCATCTGGAGGGAGGGTGGCAGGGAGCCCAGGGCACCGCCCTGGCTGCGTGGGGTCTCTGACGAGGGAGACTCTGTGATGCTGGTGAGCAGGGGCCTGCTGCCTGCCCGGCTTAGGAGAGGCTGTTTTGCTCCTGGTACTTGCGCCGGCGGGCGCAGCGGGGGCAGCCCTTCTTCACCACAGCCTGGCAGCTCTGGTGGAAGACTGTCTTGCACTCAGCACACCTGAGGAGAGAGCAGCTGCTTGTGCCAGGCGGGGCAGGGGTCAGCTGTGCTCTGCTCTGCAGCTCAAGCCCACACGTGGTAGCCTTTCCTGTGCTGAAGGCTGCTTCGGATGAGGCCACTGCAAGCCATCCGCGCACACTGCAGTCTGCCCCGCTGCATTATTGTAACAGCTCCTTGAGTGTCCCTAAATGCCGTCTTTAAAATACTCGGGTCTAAAGCCAGCCTCAGGCCCAGTCAGGCTGCGTCCTGGCCGGACGAACCTCCTGAGACAGAGGACTGGTTCCTATGTGGGTTGAAGGAAGGATGGGGTGAAGTTCTCCATGGAGGCTTCCCATCCGGAGGAATAACTGGGGGCAAGAATGAGCACTGCAGTGCAGAGGCTGTGGCCGGCACCAGCCACCAGGTGCTTATTTCTGGCTGGGTGGGAATTTGTTCAATCCCTCCTCAGCCCATTTGCAGGCTGAGGTCAGGGAGGGCCCGCTTGGAGAGCCCGTGCCGCCTCTCTCTGGGTGACAGGGGCTTAGCAGAGGGGGACGCCCGGGCCTGGGCTGCTCTGGACAGCCTCACTACCCAGCCATGGCACTGACCCACCGCCGGGACCTGGGCCAGGGTGAGTGCTGCGGGCGTCCCACATACCTGACCGTGGTGTCAAACTCGAAGGGGAAGATGATGTCGTGGTGGTGGCAGATCTGGCAGATGAAGCCCCGCTGGGTGCACAGGTCGCAGTGGTAGACGTGCTGGGAGGCGGACTCGATGAGGGCCTTGAGGAAGCCTTCGTACTCCCCCTCTGCAATCTGGGGCATGCAGGCCTGGTCTTAGCAGCTGTGCTGCCATGCCACACTCTTGTTCTACTCCCGTGGGGCAGGGGGACATCCAGCCCTGCACCCCAAGCTCTCTGGGGGTTGTGGGATTTGTGTTGGGCCCCAAACCCCTCTCCCAAACCTACTCTCCCTGGAGGAAAGCAGGGTCCCCAACTCTCACCCCTGGCACCGAGTCTGCAGAGTGCGTGTTTGTCAGTCCCTGCCCAGGAAGCTGGGGACAGCAGGGAGCCCATTCTTTGGGGGTGAGCTGAGGCACTGCAGGCCCTTCCTCCCACTTCCCTTCTGGTTTCTCCAGGACGAGAGCTCTGGGAAGGGCCATGCCTGCTCACCTGCTGCAGGTCAGCGACACTGAACTTGTGGGGAGACTCCAGGAGATAATGCCTGTGGCCAAGCCTGAAAGAAGTACAAGAGCTTCCTCAGCCAGGCTTGAGGCCCAGGCCAGCCTGTGACATCTCCCTCCCCACAGCACTGCTGGCTGGCAGGGCCTCACAGGGAGACCACGAACTGGCAGGACTTGGGTAAGCAAACTCTCGGAGTGCAGGTGTCCTCTGAGAAATGGAGCTGTCTTGGGATTAACAATCCATTTAAAGCATGTGGCACAGTGCCCAGCACACAGCAAACACATGACTAATGACAGTGCGGATGCTCCTGCTGCATGCCGACCCCGGGTACCAGGAACTGGGTTAAGAGCTTCCCATGATGCACTCATCTCACCCTATAACAATCCTGTGAGACTGGCTGTTTGGGGAAGACAGGAAACAGAGAGCTTAAGTAACTTGCCTGAGGACACATAGTAAGTCAGTGCTGGAGCTTGAGGACGGGAGCCTGGTACCAGAGGCTAGCCCCCATCCACCCACTCCTGACACACCAAGGGAAGAAATGCAGATGTGGCCACTGCCCTCTTGCAGCCCCAGGTCCAGCCGAAGGACACTCGGTCTCTGGTTTCAGTGCTACGTGAGAGGAGCCCAGATCCCATTTCAGAGATGGGGTGGGGGCGGAGGACCAGGGCTCTGGTTCCCACCACTCCCCAGTAGGCCCCAGTCACATCCTGAGGGTTGGAGAGGAAGTGCCTGCAGAAAACCCCTGGCACGGAGCCCTCCTGGCCTTGCTGTCTGTGGGCATGGGGGGGCACCCTGCATCACAGGAAGCGGGGGAACCTGTGCAGGACGGCCAACAGGCACACTGGGCCAGGGGTGAGGACACTGCCAACTGGCCACTCTGCTCACCATGCTGTTTTCCCCACTGAACGTCCAGCTTTCTGAAACAGGAAGCTGCCATTTATCACCAGGAAGACAGAGGGACTCACAGGCCAGCCCTGAGCAGGTAGGAAGGGTGGGGATGGCTGGGATGGAGCATTATCTCTGTCATCTCCCCTCTGTCCAGTCCTGGAAGCCCTGGACACCAGCCAGGGCCCGGCCACACTGGGAGCCACTGTTCCCTGAGGCCTTGCAACACTCAGTCAAGGCCAGATATAGGCAAGTAGTGCACACCTATAATCCCAGCACTTAGGAGGCTGAAGCAGGAGGATCACAAGTTCAAGGCCAGTTTGGGCTACACAGTAAGACCCTGTCTCAAAACAAAAACAAAACATCAGAAAGAAAGAGGAAAGGAGGGAGGGAGAATGAATGAGAAGATGAAGAGACTAGAGAAAGGCTAGAGGCCTCCAGGCTAAGTCAGTGCCCTCCCCCAAGGTGCACACCATGCTGCCCCAGGCCATCTGTCTGCCAGGTGATGAGCTCCTCCCACAGCCCTCACCCCGCCTCAGGAGGGCCACAGGAACACAGGGTTTCTGGGGCCACCAGTGGGGCGGGGGCCAGGCAGGGTGGCCCCTTTCCCCCTCCCGTGCCTCTTCTAAATGGTACTTGCACAGACACACACGCAGCAAGGTGGCGGAGAGAGCACCAAGCCCACCAGAATCCACCGGGTGTCCTGGTCTGCACAGGTCCACAGCCCCTCCAGGTGCCCGGGGAAGATGAGGCTCCTGAGATAGCCCAAGATGTTCTACCACCTTGCAAGACAGGAGGCCACAGCATCTCAGAAAGGGGCAGGATGGGCCGGCCTGGCCAAGAAGGGGGGCCCAGGCAAGCCCCCAGCCAGCCTCTGACCAACCAGGCCCTGAGGGAGGAAGGTGAGCGCTGCAGGGGCTGCTCTCCAGGTCGAGGGCCGGCTCCAGCCCCGAGGAGCAGAGCTGATGTGGCTGACCAGGACCCAGGAGCCCCTCCGTGCTCCCCGGGCAGCCCAGAGGCGAAGCCAGGGCACCTGCAGTGAGCCCTGGTGGCCTTCATGCCCATCCTTCAGCCCAGCATCACCTCCCACCCTGAGTACCAAGGAGCTTCTGCATCAGCCTTCCATGCTCAGTGTGCACTTTCGGGAGGACACCGCCATGAAGCTGCCAGCAGCCGGGACAGGGAGGAGACAGGAAGCCTCCGGAGCCGGCCACTCACTGCACTCCCACCCTGGCCAAGGTCCTCGCTGAGCTTGCTGTGCATGGCTAGAACCCCTGCCCCTTCCCAACTCCTCCAGGAAGCCCCCAGCCTGTGCCACCTTCCTTGGGTGAGTCTCCCTCTGTAACTGCAGGCCTCCTTCCTGCCTCTGGTTGCCGCTGCTCATCACCTCCAGGAGGCAGGCCCTGCACCTGCCCTGCTCAGCATGAGACCCAAACACGCCCCGCCTGCTGTGTGGTACTTTCCCTGTTCCCAGGAAATATTTGTTGAATGAACCAATAAATGTATAAACGGGCCTCAAAGCTGTGGTAATCTGAGGGCCCAGGGGGAGCCCCGCCCACCCGCCATGCGCTTGCTCACCTCTTGCTCAGCTCTTTGAGGGCTCCGCTGCGACACAGGCCCAGGTAATCCCCCAGGAGCTTCAGCCGCTCGCGGCTCCGGCCAATGAGGTGCACCTGCTCCACGTGCTCGTACAGCGAGGGGTTCACCAGCTGCAGGTTGACGAGGGGCTGTGCCTGGATCTGCGCCAGGAACCGCAGGGCCTGCCGGGAGACCTGGGGCGGTGGGAAGGGACTGCTCAGCTCGCGGGCCTCTGGGGTACCTGCACCGGCCCCCGGCCCCGCCCCGCAGCCCCTCCTCCACCTTACACAGCGGAAATGGGTTGGAGAGACAAGGACCTCTTGGCCAAGGTCACACAGCTCAGAAGGGTGTGGTCCAGACCTGACCCAGGGTTGCTGCCTCTCCTGGTCTTGCAGAGACGGAGGTGGCTCTATCCAGGGCCCCACCCTTGGGCTTCACAGACCCTTACCCTTCTTCGTGCCCTTGGCTCCTTTCCTGCCTGGGGGATGCGGGCTCTCCTCCGTGGGCCCAGCTCAGCAGCCAGGGGCCTCATCCAGCCCCAGGAAGCCAAAGGTCCCTCACCAGGTTTTCTCGCTGGCAGCAACCGGCAGGGCTCCCCTGTGACGCGCGCTCCAGCCAGATCCGCTCCCAGCTGACCGCAGGGATGCTGAAGGCCCCACGCTTGGGCCCAGCTCTCACTCCAGTGGCCACAACTGTGCACCTATGCTGTGCCCACAGGCTTTCCTTTCTCAGAGCAGCTCATGTGGGGAGGTGGCAGTGTCCCCATCTGATACACTAGGAAACAGGCCCAGAGATGCGCAAGTGGTCTCTCCAGCCCACCGGAGAGCGGAGCCCAGCTCTGAGCTGCAGTGTGGTCTCTGAACGCCAGGACTCCCTGGCACTGTGGTCTCCCAGGAGTGTGCTAAGGAGCTGAGGGTTACCAGGGGAAGGCGCACACTCCTTCCTGAGAAGAGTGACTCCACACACGTCCTTGGCACTGGGCCGGCATGCAGCTCATCTTCAGCAAATGTAAGCTGCCGCCCCTGAGGGTCGAGAGAGTCAGGGGACCCGTCCCTGTTCCGGGGCCCAGGGAGACCTCTGGCTTCCGGTCTCAGAATTCCACAGCACCTCTTGCCTCCTCCACCGTGGACATCTCCTCTTTCCCAGAAACCAGGGCCCGGAGGTGGGAGCCCTGGCTGGAGGCAGTCCAGCAGGCAAGTGCGGTCTTCAGTCCCAGCCCAGCTCTTCTCTGCTGTGCCCGATTCAGTGGCTCTCCCAGCCACTGGAAGCCAAAGAGCAGACCAAGGTTCTCTCACCAGTATCAACCAGCAGGGCTCCACTAGAGCTCTGGGTGAGGCCCAGGTTAAATGACACAGAGGACGGGGTGCAGGTGGGCAGGGGCTTCACCCTCCCAGGGACTGGCCCCACTCTGTGGGCGTAGAGGAGACAGACAACAGCTCCACCCCAGGCCCAGCTGGGCCTCAGCACAAGTAGGTCAGCCAGAGCAGCCACCGTGAACAAGAAGGGCCCAACCGAGGACCAGCCACTTTCTACTTTGAATTTTCCTGTCCTTCTCAGGCCAGTGACCTTTGAGGGAGGGCTGTATACTTCCTGGTCTTAGGAAAGCACTGCGATTTCCTAGTTAGGAAACAGGAGCAGACAAAGACTTCAGCCATCAGTGAGGAGATGGATCAACAGAAGCATCAGGCCTTGTAAGGAGGGAGAGTGCTTCATGGTCAGAGGGTTCTTTACAGTGGCAATCTTGAGGGTTAATTTTCTGTGTGCTAATTTGCAAACTTAGCACTGAGGGCAGAGGTGGGGACAAGATAAACAATGGAACAGCAGCAGGAAGCTGAGTTCGGGGACACACCCACAGGCCAAGACCGACACGCGTGTGGCCTGTGCCTCCAAGGAAGCAAGCAGCTTCTCCCACGTGTCTCAGGGCTGCTGTGCTGGAAGGCTGAGCCTCCAGGAGAGCCAAGTGTGTTCCCGAGGCAGACCCCGACAGGTGAAGGGCGTGACGGGCCTCTGGGGAGGAAAGGCACTGTGGGAAGCTCTGTTCTCAGTGCCGAGCATGTACTGGCACGGCCCTCCTCACAGCAAGCCAAGACAGACGCTGTCAGTCACCCCGCTAGGGACAAGGAAACAGCTAATGTGCTCATGGTAACACAGCTGGAAAACTGGCTCCGCTCAGCTACAGAAAAGCAGCAACCTTTCAAAGGTCTTGTTCAGAGGTGCTAGGTAGATGTAAGAAAGCACACAAGAAGTGGTGTGAAGCGAGCAAGGACGGATCGAGCAGGAGTCCAGCGCGACCCCCAACTTCACAGTGAGTGACTGAACGCACAGCATGGCTGTGCCCCCAAATGTCGAGTGACACTCTCTGAGCTATGACACAAAATTCTGTTTTGTTTTTTCTTGAGACAAGTTCTCACTATGTAGTCCAGGCTGGCCTCGAATTCGAGGCAATCGTGCCTCAGCCTCCCGAGTGCTGGGATTATAGGTATGCGCCACCATGACCAGCTGACACAAAATTTCGATCTGTCTTTGGGCTTGTCTGTAATTTTTAAATGTTAAGCAATAACCACATATTGTTTTAATAATGGGTGGAGCCCCAGAAGAAATGCTCCTTCCAAAACATGAAATAAGTAAGGCCATGCAGGGCTGGGCCTCACAGGGCTGGCAAAGCCAGCGGGTGTAGCCAACCGGCTGGCCTACCTGTCCACCCACCCACTACCATCTATCATTTACCCACTACCATCCACCCATCAACATCAAATCTATCCTAATCTTCCTATATACTCACCTATCCACCTGCCTATCTACTTACCTACCTACCTGCTAGTTGCTAGTGCCTTAAACAGTCCTGTCTGTCACTGTGGGAGCTGCAGAGAACCATCCTCAGATGCTCCACTTGGGGACCAAGGCAGGCGTCCACAGAGCTCTGCTCTGGACTTGGGTAGGCATGAAGCTTTTCGCTTGGTCACTGAACTAGCGACCCTGGCCTCCTTCTAGTCAAACTCCCCCAGATAGACAAAGAGCAGCAGCAGAGGGGTCAACACTGCTGGGTCACTCAGCACCTTGTGTGGTTACATCAGGCTGCCTGCAGACTTACCGGGCGCTTAGTGAGGTCCCAGTTGTGGATGATCCTGGCTGGAATCACTGAGGCATCGTCCTGGTGGCAGCTGTCACAGTAATAGAGGCCAGAGAAGGCACAGAGCTTGGGTCGTACAAAGGAGAAGCCAATCTGCCGGGAGCAGCCTGGGGAGGAGGGGTGGGTGGGTGAGACGCAGAGGCCAGAGTCAGCTCCGAGTAAAACAGGCTACTCTGACAGGAAGGCCCTGCGAGTTTGTTGTTTGTTTTTTTTTTTTTAAGGAAAGTACACAGGTAAAAACCATTGCTCATATTTCCAGTGTTAACACTACTAACTGCGACAGTACACTGCAAGAGTCACTGCTGCCATTTCACAGATGAGGAACTGATGCTTAGAGGCTGAGAAGTCTGAGTGGTCACCTTGGCACTGGGCGGGCCTGAAGCCCCATTCTCACCAGTACACCCGGCAGCCTGTCCTCAGGCTCTGCTCCCCGCTCCCCAGGGCTCTGTCCATTCCTCCACGGGGCCTGGAAATACAAGCCACCAAGTGGGGGTCTGGGTGAGCAGTGGGCACGGCTGCAGGAAGTTGGCAAGAGGCAGAGCAGCCTGGACAGAGGGAGCCACCTGACAGCAGGCACTCTCCACAGCAGGGGCCGTGTGAACGGTGCCCAGGGCAGACAGCCAAGGGGCAGCTGAAACCTCCATCCAGCCTTGCTTCCCCCAGGGAAGAGGGAAGGATCCTTTTGGCCTTGAGATCAACTGCCTCATCCTGATATGCACCCAATTTTCTCAAGGTTCCATTTCAGCATCTGTAAAAGTCAGCTACTTCTGTTTTTTGGGGTTATCACGAAGGATAAATTTGGGCTCGAGGTGTAGCTCGCTGGTGAGCACTTGCCTAGCATGTGTGAAGTCTGCACACTGTTGCCAGGATCACCCAAACAAAAACAAAAACAGAGACAAACTGGAAAGGCAAAGCACACACCAGTGAGGGTCTTCTTGCACCCTGGAGCTGAATGACAACAGAGGTGTCAGCGGTCGGTGTCTGCTTGGCCTTTTGCAGAAAAACTGCAGGGTGGAAAGGAGCCCTGAACTCCTTGGTTTCACCGCACCTCTGGCAGGCTGGTGGGGCTCAAGGAGAGCACCCCGCAGCCCTCACACCCAAAGGCAGGGCCTCCCTCACCCACGCTTCTGCAGGGAACCCTGCTCTGCTGGCTTCTCCCATCCTCCGGGCCACTGCAGGCCACTTCTGTCTTCAACACCTGAGGCAGGCTGCCTGCAGTCCCACAGGCTCCACCCCATCGGGACTGCTCTGAAGCCATGGTTCGGCCTCTCTGCCTTCTGCAGCAGGCAGCGAGCATCCCCCCGACTGCAGGGAAGGCAGATACCATGGGCAGAGCAGTGGAGACTGTGCAGCCTGGGCCAAGGGGAGACCCTCTGGGGTCCTGCCCAAAAGCACAGGCCCAGCCTGGCCAGCCACGCCATCTGCTGTGCACTCACTGGCTGTGGAGCCCGAGGCAAGGAGCTTCCCAGCTGGGTGCCTCGAGCTTCCTCAGCCATAAACAGACCCATCTATATGGCCGGTGTGAAGGTTAAATGAGATAATCCAAACACAGCACCGGTCCTGTGCCGCTCAGGACAGTGTGATTCCACAGTAACTGTTCTGTAGCAGATGTACTGACAAAACAAACACTGTCACCATGTGTCATTCACCAAGCTGCAGAACTATGTGGAGCTGTGCTCCCCAGGACAGGGGCCATGAGCCATCGGTAACCCTTTACATTTAAAGAAAAGTTAAATGAAAATCCAGTTTCTTAGCCACACGAGCCACTCATTCAGCAGTGTGTGTGTTCACTGCTGAGCTGGCCAGCACAGACCTAGAAAGCCCTTCGGCACTGAACAGCACAACCTGCAAAAGCAAGCCAAGGTCTCTGCTTTGGGAGGACCCAATGCCTCTGCTATGGAAGCCTGTGAGCAAACAGCAAAAAGGGTGCAGGGAGGGCAGGAGGCGCAGGAGGCGCAGGAGGCAGGGCTGCCACCACAGGCCCCACCCCGAGGGAGGTGGGAGAGGGGCTGGGGTGCCCACGGGCAGGAGCCGTGGCTGCGGGGAGGGCAAGGCCCTCTGCGGGGCTGCCTGGGAGGGATGGAGCCCTGGGGGGAAGCCTGGGTCAGGAGCCTGTGGCAAGCAGGGGCAGTGGGCACCAGCTGGCACCTGCACAGAAGCAACCCTGGGAGTCCAGGCCTTTCTCCGTGGGGACGGCCACCAGGTGCTGCAGGAGGAGCCCGTTCTCCTGGGCGGCGGGCGTCAGCCCCTCCTGACAGTTTTCGTCCAGACTCCCAGCAAGTGTCTCGGCGTCCTCAGCCGCCTCCAAGTAGGAGGCCAGGACCTCGCGTACTAGGCCCCTCCACAGGGCGGCCTCCTCGGCGTTCCCAGCCTGCAGCTTCAGGACGGCCTTGGCTGTGATGATTTTGAAGAAGGCCGGACCCCCGAGGCTCGTGTCGGGCAGGATGTCTCGTATGGCCTCCACTCCATGGCTGTCACTCAGCATCTTCTCATTATTCCTCACGCGGAAGCATTTCAGAGATTCCACGGACAGGGAGAAAATACAGGGCACCCAGGTCCCGTCTGCATACAGGTACAGAAGTGACTCTTTGATGGCGTCTGGCTCCGGAACCTGGGCCGGTGTCCAGTGACTCCGCCTGCTCTGGGGCATGGCCGGCTCTGGGCACAGAGCTGAGCCAGAGGGGTGGCCGCCAGGAGGGACCTCGGGGGGCTCTTCGGGCTGATCCGGGTACTGGACGTCCACCCACTCGTGCTCCTGCTGCGGCCGGACCTTCTGCAGGGCCTCCCGCACCCGCTCCAGCCAGTCCTCAGCCTCATCTTGGGAGGAGGCCCGCAGGGCCAGCTTCTTGCTGGCGAAGACCAGCTCGAAGCGGCCGTCGCTGTGGGCCGGACCCACCGCCTCGCAGCGCAGCAGGGAGCAGCTCTCCACGCAGGCGCGCTCCTCGGCGCTCAGGTAGAGGCGGAGCTCCAGCGGAGACAGCTCGCAGAAGAGCTCCTTCCAGATGCCCATGGCCCCCCGCCGTGACACTGTGCCCAGCTTTAGGAGGCCCCGGAACGGGTTGGACAGCCCTGGAGGCAGAAAGCGGCAGGTTAGTAGGTGGGCCTCGCCCTTTACCACCCCGCCGCCTGCAGTGCCCAGTGTCCCACTGCGGGGGTAGACACGGCCAGCCACAGGGATGCAGGCAGGGTTCCACGGGCCAGGGGGGGGATACCCATGGAGGCGTCCTCCCTGCCTCAGCCTGGCTGCTGACCTTTCTTCCGAGCTCCCCTGGAGGATGGACGAGCTCAGCAGTCCCCTGCACACAGTCCTCACGCCATGCCCCTTCTGGCGTCTGTGCCCGCACCCCGACTCCCTCACTGGGATGAAAGGACTGTGCTTCTGCCTGAGCTCACTCCCACCCCCTGCCCACTCGAGGCCATCCCTCCAGCAATTCCCCCTCCCTTCTGAGGCACACAAACATGCTGTAATTTCTCCCACCTTAAAACTTCCTCTAGTCTGGACTCACATGTCCAATTACCACACATTTCTTGGTCCCTTTTACAGAAAAACTGCACGAGGAAGTACCAACACCTGTCTCTAGTTCCTCTGCTCCTGTTCCCTCTTGAGCTCGCCTAAGTTCGGCTGTCCTTCCCTCACTCACTGACTCTGCCTCTGGGAAGGGCCCAAAGGCCTTCCTGGGGTGCTCTTTGCTTCTCTTGGTCCCCTCACTGCCCTACCTCTCAGGCCTGGCGTGCCCTGGTGCTCAGGCCGGGCCCTGTCTCTTCTCTGGGACACCTACTTCCCAGCTGCTTCTCTCTCAGGGCCGCCAACCCAGCCCCAGTTGTCCTCTCCAGCCCAGACTTCCGCTGAGGCTGCACACTCCCATAACCACCTGCCCCGCCTCAGAGGCATCTCACAGTTGCTATATCCAAAAAAATCCTGATCTGCCAGCCGCAAACTTGCTTTTTTCCTAAAGTTTCTTATCTCACAGATCATTAAACTTCAGCCTTCCACTCACTTCACCTTGGAGTCACCTCAGGTTCTCTCCTTCATGGCCCACATCCAGTCTATCAACAGTGCCCATAGGTTTTGCCTTCAACACACAGCGAGAACTCACCACACACCCCTGCCCGCCACCTCAGGGCCAGTCCTGACACTCTGGCCTGGGTTAGGACAACAGCCCCTTGCTGCTGCTTCCTCCAGCATGGGAGCCGGGAGGAGTTTAAGAGATGAGCTACCTGGCCCGCAGGCTCCATCCTGCTGCCCCATCCCTGGCACCCAGTCTGTCATGTGTAGTATATTCCAGTGCAAGGTCTTTGCATTTCTTCTCCCTGCTTTCAACACCCAGATCGCCTCCTGCCTCCCTCTGTCCTTTCCTCTCCAATGTCACCTGGCTCATGAGGGCCGCCCTGGTCCCCCTCCAGCAGGACTACTGTCCAGTGCTGCACTCCGACTCTGTCCACCTCACTATTTTTTTTTTTTTGGTACCGGGGATCGAATTTGGGACCTTGCGCTTCCGAGGCAGGCGCCGGAACCACTGAGCTCTATCCCTGGCCCTTGTCCACCTAACTCTTAACAGACCATGCTCTACCTACACTTAGCAATGTTTGTATTTCCTGTCTCCCCTACTAGGAAGTAAATCCCACAAATGGAGGGAACCGCTGTGCTGTCTGTCGTGTCCCCAGCACCTGGAACTGTGCTGGGTGCATGACAGACGCTCAGCAAGTCTGCTGGAGAACAAGCGGAGGGTGCCAGTGTGCCATGCAGCACTCCGGCTCCCTTCTCCCCAGAGGCGCCACGACAGCGAGTCCCAGGGGCACACGGCGTTCTCTCCTAGCTTGGAGCAGCCCAGAGGCTGGAAACAGCTTCGAACGATTTTTTGCACCTCAGGGGCCCAAGGGCCAAGCAACGAGGCTCACACGCTCCACAGGGTTCCACACCACAGCCAGGGGCTGAGACGAACCCAGGAGCCAGAGCTTTGCCCGCATTCCCAGGCCGGGGCCACGAACCTGGCAGCATTCTCTGCTGCATCACTGCACACAGGAAATGAGGAGAGAAGGGCCGATGTTCGGGCACACTTGTGTTGTTTTAAAAGAAAACTCATTTGGACGGTACACAAAAATTAGGTTACAATTATTTAATGCTTTCTGCACTTTCACAGGGTATAGAAATCAAGCTGGCTTCACTCTAAATAGCACGTCAAAGACAGAAATCTAAGAGCAGGTCTGATAAACCCTACCAGAGTTTTAAATGAACAGAGATGAAAACCTTTGGAAGGAGCTGCTGGATACCTGGGCAGGGTTTGCCTTGGGCCTGAGGGAATTAAGCCTTCTCTGTCATCCTGAATTGTATAGCCTAACTCCAAGGGGAATACTTCCCTTTCAGTACATGAAGTATCTTTATTCTCTGTAGGCAGTTTTGGACACTTATTTTAATAAGATTTTAGGGAAGAGTATAGCGCTTTTCTGAATTACTAAGCATGAGTGCCCTATACATATTACCATGTTTTAGGACAGGGGTGGTGAACCCATGGCACCCGTGCTGCTGTGCGCTGTTTGCATCTTTGAAAGCTCTGCAGGCAGCCGCTGCTGGGTAGCTATTGCTGGGTAATGGCAAACAGGACCTCGTGAGAGGCAGGGTCCTTGGGAGACCTGTGGGGCCACCTACCCATCTGGCGCCGGTGCACCACCCAGAAGCTCTTGTGCTCCTCCGGGGCCTCCCTGGCACCCCCATGTCCTGGGGAAGACATGCACGTCTCACTCAGGGCTCCCAGGGGGCAGCTCTTTCTTGCTCCTTGGGAGCGGTGCCAGTGGAGAGCAGTCCTTGGCTCCGGGCATCCTCTAGGAGCAGCTGCAGCGCTGCTGGGAGCGGGCTCCTGGGGAGGCCGATAGAAGTCCTCCTCGGAGATCCAGCTCTGGCTTTTCTAAAGAAAGAAGATAAAGGCAGTCTGCTTTTACCCTTTTGAAAAGGTCTTTAGTTACGGTTCACTAACCATAGCATGGACTTGTTTGAAAGAACGGGTGTATGGCTGAACAGATCTGGTCTCCCACAGAACGGCACAACCACCATGGGTGAACAGCACACTGTTTTCACCCGCCCCAAGAACTCTCATACCCACTGGGAGTTCTTGCCATTTCTTCAAGACCTCTCTGGCTCTAGGCAGCTGCTTGTCTATTTTCTGTCTCTGTAGATTCGTACTTTTTATAATAAGTGATCTTTTGTGACTGACTTCTTCCAGCATAATGTTTTCAAGGTTCATCCATGTTGCAAAAATATATCAGCATGCATTCCTTTTTACTGCCAAGTAATTGTGTGAGATTTTGTTTATCTTCTCATCAATTGACGGACATTTGGGTTGTTTTCATGTTTTGGCTATAATGAACATCTATGAACAAGTTTTTGTGTGGACTTATGTTCTTCTGTCTTTGCCTACATACCTGGGAGTGGAACTACAGGATCAAAGGTGACTCTGTGTTTCCTTTCTTCTTTTTGGTACCAGGGATTGACTTAAAACCTTGTGCTTATGAGGCAGGCTCGATGCCACTGAGCTAAATCCCTGGCCCCATGTTCCCTTTCTTGAGAAACTGCTAGACTGTTGCCCAAGGTGCCCATACCATTTTATATTCTCACCAGTAATGCACTATTCTGTCTTCTGATTCTAGCCTTCCTGATGAGTGCGAAGTGCTATCCTGTTGTGGCTTTAATGTGTGCATTTCCCTAGTGTCTGATGATGACACCTTTTCATGTGCTTATTGGTTATTGGTACACACATTCACTGGAGAAGAATCTATTTGTATCCATAATATTGGGTTATCATTTAGTTGTTGAGTTAAGGGCTGAATCATGCTCCCTAAAGACTTGGGGTACCTCATTTAGAAATAGAGTCCTTGCAGATGTATTTAATTAAGATGAGAGCCTTTTGGAGTAGGGTGAGCTCTTAATTCAATACGACTGAGGTCCTTATACAAAGAGAAGGAAAGACAGATAGACACACCTTAGTCACTTTCCTTGTTTCTGGGACAAAATACATGACATTAGCAACTTAAAGGAGGAAGGTTTATTTTAGCTCAGGGTTTCAGAAGTTTCAGCCCAGGTTTGGCAAGCTTGAACACAGAAACATGGTGGAAGGGCCTGAGTGGAAGAAACTTGCTCACGTCATGGTGGCCAGGAAGCAGAGTAGGAGGAGGAGCTTTAAGGAGCCAGGGAGGGAGATCTTTCCTTCCAGGCCACACCCCTGTGAGCCCACTCTTCTGGCCAGACCCCATTTCCCCACAGCAAGTCAGCTGTGTTGCCCCCATGATTTGATCATTTCTAAAAGACCCATCTATGAGCACGAGACCTTTAGGGGCCCTTCTTAATCCAAACACAAGACAGAAACAGGGAGGGAGAACTCATGCGATGGTGGACAGGCATGAGAGTGATCCAGATACAGGCCGCAGAATGCCAAGGTTTGCCAGCAGCATTAGAATTGAGGAGAAAGGCATGGCAGATTCTTCCTCAGAATCTCCAGATGGAACCCACCCTGCTTTGCTTTGCCCAGGGAGCTGCGAGGAGGCCAGAGGTCGCTTAGTGGGCAGGGAAGGGGCTCTGTCGCCAAGCTAGCGGTCCTGTTCCATCGGGTCTGGGGCCCTGACAGATGCGTGTCCGAGACTGCACAGCAGAGGCCAGGTCATCGGCAGGGGCCAGCTCGGCGTGGCAAGGCCACCATCCCAGGAGACACCTTCTGGCTCCGGTCAAGCCAGCTGCTGGTCACAACTTTTGGGATCCCCAACACTCATCTTCCTGAAGCCATGTTCAGGGTAACAGATGCAGAGCGGGGCTCAGTTATGTGATGTGCATAGGCACATTCAATGCATGGTGCTAGGTCAATGAGATAACCGTGTGGAGCGACATAAGCTTGGCCTACCTCACCCCCACACAGAAGTTAATCCTCCAAGGACTATGACCGTCACTGTGTACGGCAAATTACAAAAGCTTCCACCAGGAAACACGGGAGAAGAATGCCAGAGCCTTGGAGAAAACACAGATCTCTTCAACAGCACAACACACAGACACACGTGTAAATCTGGGCAAATCATAAACAAAATGACCGATAAACTGAGTATCATTAAAATGAAGAACTTCTGCTCAGTGGAAAATACCGTTAAAAGACGTAAGGCAAACCACCCTGGAACCCTTCTCCTTCCCTCCGTCCCTCCAATAAAAACATCTATCTACAATCCATAAAGAGCCCCTAAAAGTCAACGCAGAAACCACACACCACCACCCTGAGAGTGGGATGATGAAATGCACGGACACTTCCTTAGAAAGAGCAAAAGGCCAAGAAGCAAAAGAAAAGCATCAGCGTCTTTGTACACCAGGGCCATGCAGATTCAACCATGGCGAGCTGCACTTCTTAATCACTAGGATAGCTACAAGATAGTACTAATTATTGGTGAGGGTGTGGAGATATAAATTACTAGTGGGAAAGCTGGGCATGGTGGCACACACTCGGAATTCCAGCTCTTGGGAGGCTGAGGCAGGAATAGTGCTGGAAGTTTGAGGGCAGCCTGGGCAATGCAGGGAAACCCTGTCTCAAAAAACAAAAACAAAAACAAATTACTAGTGGGAATACGTAATAGAGCCAGTTCTTTGGGAAACAGTTGGCAGTTGCACAAAAGGCTACCATATGAGCTACTCCTAGTTACGCGTCCAAGAGAATTAAAAACTTACACCCATAGGAAAGCTGATACATGAATGCTTGCAGCAGCATTATCTCGAACATCCCAAAGTGTAACTAACACCGACATCTCTCAACTGGAGAAGACGTAAGTGAAATGGGACTTAGTTATATAATGGAGTATTTAATGGAACATGACTCTCAATGAAAAGGAACAGAGGACTGCTACATACCGTAACACTGAGGAAACTTAAAAAATACCACGCTATGCCAAAGAAGTCACAAAGGCTCACATACTGTACAGTTTAACTTGTACGAGATTTCCAGAGTAGTCAAATCTCTTCAGATAGAAAGTAGATCAGAGCCTTATACATGTGATCGCAGCTACCTAGGGGGCCCAGGCCGAGGTCATGAGTTCAAGGCTAGTCTGGGCAACTAGCAGGACTTTGCCTCTGAAATAAAATACAAGAGCCTGTAATCCCAGCACTTGCGAGCTTGAGTCAGGAATATTGCTGCGAGTTTGAGGCCAGCCTGGGCCACATAGTGAGACCCTATTTAAAAAAGAACAAAACCAAGCCAAAAAGTAAAATGCAATAAAGTCCTGGGAATGCAACTCAGTACTGTAGCACTTGCTGTCTAGCGTGCGGGAGGCTCAGGTACGAGCACCAGGAAAAAACGAAACAAAATCCAGAAAGTAGATTGGTGGTCACCGGGGGACAGGGAGTGACTGCTGCCCCTGGGCTGGGAGTTTCCCTAGTGGGGATTAAAATGCTCTAAAATGTGATGGTGGTGGTTACACACTCCTCTGAATTTACAGGAAACCATGGAATGATAA